TTATAAGATTATAACTCTGGTTTGGTGGAAATAAATCCTTAATTCACAGACGTAGATGATAAAAACAGCAAAACAAAACAAACCACAGAGGCTGCGATACAACACAGGCAGAGGGAGAGAGACACCATGTGACTCTGTATCTTTATATAGCTACAATAGCTGTTTGCTGATATATTGTTTAAAAACCTCATATATATATATGATGTTTAAGCATCTTTCTGCTTGTTTGAGGCTAAGCTGCTGTTTCTCCTGGCCCTAACTTGCAGACACTGTGATGTTACAGTCTTTTTGTGAAATGTATGTTTTTATGAATGTCAGAAATGCTCATGTACAAAAGCTAACCACAGAAGCAAACAGTACCTGCAGGTTGTTTTTCATGCCTTGTGTGATTTTTTTACCAGCACTCTTCACTCAAACGCTCCACATGGCAAATAGCTGGGAGACATTATTGCCTCCTGCTATTGTGTGCTGCCAATACTGAGTTCAGACAGTATTAAAGGGCCCAGTTACCCAGTCAGCATTCTCAACCTCTGAAGGATGGAAAGAAAATATCTCACAGCATTTTTCTTGGCAATCCTGCTGATTCAGAGATAATAAGGGCAAGTTCCTGAGGGTCTTTAGAAATGTGTCTGTATTCACCAGGCTGCAGAATAATAAAAGTTTCTCCCTCACATGTGCAGTTTATCTTTTATCTCGTGTTGAAACTGACACTGACAATGTGTAATTTTATTAACTTTTAATCTATAATCTGTAACATTTCCTCATTAAAATTAAATTAAATTAATTATTAAACACGAGACCTATGTTCTATATGTTGTTGAGTCATGTACTTGTGATGGAGAGAACATGAAGCCGAGGGAATGAGCAAGTGAGAGCTGCTTCAGCTAAACAAGATAGCAACCAATTCAATACCCGCACTAAGGTAACGAAGACACGACAATTCTTATTTTCAGGTGATGCACTGGCATAAGTCAATTTTACAAACTGGTTTTAAACCGACTTTGCAGTTGGAACCAGGCTTAGTAAACACCAGTTGGTGCAGCCCATCCCAGACGTCTGGATCTTAAGTTATCAGAGAAACAAGCTGAGGTAACATTAAATGGTAAATGGTAAATGGACCTGTACTTGTATTGTATTTCTAGTCTTCCAACCACTCAAAGGGCTTTTACACTACATGCCACATTCACCCTTTCACACACATTCACTCAGCGATGGCAAAGCCCATCGAACAGAAACTAACACATTCACACATCGGGAGCAATTTGGGTTCAGTATCCTGCTCAAGGACACTTCAACACGGGGACCTGAAGGAGCCGAGGATCAAACCAACAACCTTCCGATTAGTGGACGACCCGATCTGCCTCTGAGCCACAGCCGCAATTTAACAGCTCGGCTCACAGCCCCTCCGGGACGTCCTTTGTCTGTCCAACAGCGTGGGAGAAGCAGTGATTGTTAAGGTGGAACTGCTTTATTCAGTGTGTTTAAGGTGGAACTGCTTTATTCAGTGTGTTTAGTGGTTTTAATCAGCGGGTCCGTTTTTTTTGGGGAGGAGGAGACCTCTGTGGATAATTGGGCTCCCGGTAGAAACCTCCTGAACCATGAACACTGAAGGAATCCTAACCGGGAGAAGCTGACTGCAGTGACGCCAATGGTGGTGAAGACAACAACTCCCATGATCCCACGCTGTTTCACCACCTCAACTTCCTCTTTCCGTCTTCTAACTAGCGGAATTCAAACCTAATCTAACCTCATATTTTTTTGTGGTTGTTTGTATGTGAGAGACCTCGTAGTTTCTCATTTTGGCCGGACTAAAGTGGACATTCAGTTAAAATATGTGTCTCCTGCTCATTTATGCACTCATTTTTAATTCAAGCTGTGGGTGAGAATACGAGTGAATACGGAGTACTTACTCATATCTACAAGACAGTTTGACATATACTTTCAAGACAAGAGTGAGTATCGACTATGTGTTCTTTATTTTATGAGTCCGTTTTTAATCTCAACCCAGATCCGTGAAAATCTTCAGCCTTCACATAAAAACAACTGACCGACCTGTCGGTACCTCACTGACACTAAGGGTACATGTCCTCTCCGATGTCCCGTATACTTTAATCCATATTGTTTATTGGATTTTGAGCACATTCCATCATAAAAAAGGATCTTTTTTGTTTTTAAAATATGGAATCTCTCTTTCTTAATAAAAACTGAACTTTATCTCGTCTCCGTTCATAACTTGGGGACATGTCCAATCAATGAATGGTCACACTGTGGTAAAGATTGTTTTCAGTGGGTTATATCTGTATAAAGCATACAATGATAAAACACACATTGCTTCATATTTGTAAGAAAGCATAATAAATAGCACCAGTTCCATTTGTAGCATTATTAGCCAGAGACCTGAGTTAGAAAATATCTGCTTCCTACATAAAAATATTATATATATAGATAAGAAATTTCACATTTTAACAATTCCTAACGTGTCCATAACAACACGTAACTCTAGAAACTCGAGCTAAAGGCCGTCATATGCCCACAGTCTGTCAATACAGGATCAATATCATCCATAAAGATACAGTGTATATTGATCAATATCATCCATAAAGATACAGTGTATTCTGATCAATATTATCCATAAAGATACAGTGTATACTGATCAATATCATCCATAAAGATACAGTGTATTCTGATCAATAACATCCATAAAGATACAGTGTATTCTGATCAATAACATCCATAAAGATACAGTGTATACTGATCAATAACATCCATAAGGTTACAGTGACCAACCAAACTCCATTCAGAAAACAAACGTTTTAAATGCTGTTTGCTCGTCGTCTTGCAGACAGACTTTGCCTCACGTTACTCGCGTGAGTAATGTGAGTAAATACAAATGACCACCCGTCAGGAAGGAGGTTTAGAAATGAAGGAGTTAATGATTACGAGTCATTGTGCAGATGCCGTAATTGCTCCTAAATCCTCTTATTTCTGATGCCATCAATCCAAGAACACGCCTTCTTAGTAAACTGTTCAGCTGATCAATATCTTATAAAAGAGTGTGTGTGTGTGTGTGTGTGTGTGTGTGTGTGTGTGTGCGTGCGTGCGTGCGTGTGTGCGCTCAGGTCTTTCTAGGTTATCTGCAGATTTGAGAGTAATCCACCATGTATTGATTGCGGGAGGTTCCTTCCATCAGTCCACAGACTCACACACCGTTAATATAATTAGACAGTTTCCAGCGAGGCACTGACGACACACACACACACACACACACACACACACACACACAGTGATTAGTCAGGTGGGAGACTGATTAGCAAAGAAAGAGTTTCTCCCTTATCTAAAGTTTTCTCTCAACTTCTCTCGCAGTCATTCAGTGGTCTGATGAACTCTACAGTCTCAGTCAGGTTCACTGTAAACAGTTTATTGTCTAATTAACAGTAATCACTGCCGACAATTATCCAGTAAAATTACCATAAAACTCACCACAGCAGTTGCTAGCAAGCACCGCAGAACCCCTGCCTTTATCCCACTCTGTGACCGCAGCCTGTGAGAAGGCAATAAATGCTGCTATGTGTTGGATAACTGAGTCATGTGACGTAAATCAAACTTTTCCCATTCAAATGCTGGCGGCATTCGTTAGCTTTAAAGTTTGACTGAAAATGCAGAAAATAACAGATTTTAATAGTTTTACTGCGGCGCTGATGAACAATTTGAGTAGCCAGTTTCCTGATGAGTTTCTGGTCTCAGTCTCTAGTTTCAGTCTTCTTCCATACAGCATGATGTTCATTTAGTAACTGATGGTCCCATTTAGAGTAAAACAGACCATAAAGCAGGGTATGCTTTAGGGCGGGGCTACCTTGTGATTGACAGCTCATTCTCAGTGAGATCCTGTGTACAAACTGTAAGCGTCGGTTCTGCTCTCTGAGAATCTGGTCATTGATTTATCTGTTCATTATCTTTAAAAACCAGAACACAGCCGGTGGTTACAGCCCAAAGTTTTATCCTGAAGTTCCTTTCAAGCAGAAGCTGTTGTCAGGGATAAAGAGTGCGAGTAGCTCTCGCAGTGACACTGAGGAAGACTGGTGGGCAAATCATTTAATCAAATCACTGTTCAAAACCCAGCACAGATCAATGACCAGCGGCTTATCCATGTGGAAATATTGGGCAACTGTTTGGTGTTAGCACAGTTAAAAGATTTCTGTGTGCACCCTGGCAGTGCTGTGTCCTTTAATAATGCCCTAAAAACTCCAGCACATAAATGTCAGGACGCAGCCTTGCTGGTGAGTTGTGAAGAGTCATCAGATTGCTGTAAATGTCACTGAGATTATTCAGAGAGCAACCAACATCACTGTACGCTGTAATTAATTCCTTTCAAGCTTCTGTGACTCAACAATTCACACCTGATCTGTTTTAGGTTTAAGTATGAGGATTAAAGGTTACAGACACAAACTTCACTGGATGTCACACTTGAGTACCAGAATCTCAAAACAAATGGGTGCTGCGGCCCACCAGACTCCATTAAAAAAACCACTAATTTTACATGGCGTATTGTAAAATACACTTCGAACAAAAAAAGAATGTCTTTCTTTGTTAGTCTTTCTAACAATTAGCAACTCTGCAGGCAGAGGGAGTGAGACACCATGTGACTCTGTATATTTACATAGAGAATAGCTGTTAGCTGATATATTAATGATTTAAATCTCATATATATAACCTTTGAGAAACAAATGGAATCGATTGACATATTCTTATCTTCTCACATTGTCAGCATTGCTTTTAGATCACAAACAGCACCAGAGCTGGATCAGAAACCCACTGAGACCCTTTTTTTCAGGTGGTCTCAATCCTGTTAGGCCAGACCACGGTTTGACTGACAGCTTTCATGCCAGCCCAAACAAACTGAACCAAACATGCAGACGTGTCCAACCCGGCATCACTCCCAACTCGTGAGAAATAAAAAAAACAGAAACTGATCATCTTCGACCCACAGCCCGCAGTCTTACCTGCCTCCCTGGAGAGCTGCATGAAGGCGTCCACCCCTTTCTCCCCGTAGCTGCCCTCTGAGGCCACAGTGGAGACGTAGTTCCAGCCCATAGCCTTGACAATGTCCACCATCGCCTGGGCCTGGAAACTGTCCGGAGGGACCACCCGAGAGAAGAAGTCGTATCGCCGGTCGTCACTTAGCTCCGGGGCGGTGGATGCATAGCTGATCTGAGGGATCTGGAGGGAGAGACAGAGGGAACAGGAGGATGAGTTATGATCACATTGTAGAAATGTGAGGTATGGTGTTTGTACATCTTCCTCCCATCACAGCGTTGAGACAGAAGGGACGAAAGACTGAAATATACTTGAGTTTGCTTCATTTGAGAGGACCACAAAATGATGTTATAGGACAGATACTGGAGGACAGAACAGTTCAACTAAACAATGTTTTACCTTCCAACAGGGACAGGAAGTCCTGTTTCAGGTATTTTAGAGTTTCCTGATAATCAATAAAAGTAGTTGATGACTCATCCTGCACTCGGGGGCGTTTACTAATGCTGCGTCCAATGAAATGCTTTCCCTCTTCTGACGCCACAGCAGTGGAGGGTTTCTGAGGGCCAATGTCTCATCTCATCTCAGCCCCGAGATGCCAAGAGCCAAACCTGGCAAGAAAACCACATTAGTACTGGATTCCCTCTCGCTCTCAGAGATTGTGTTTTGTGTGTCCAGCTGTGTTCATTGGAAGGTAGACACTGACGTTAGCTCATAGCGTTAGCTGCATAGCATTGGGGTCAGGTCCATCACTACCTCCATAAAATGTGCCAAGAAAGACTTCCTGTTATTTGGTCTAGAATAGCACAAGAACACAAGAACAGAGCCAGAATAAACCAAGATAAATTAATCATGGGATGAATAACTGTCAGACATATTCTAACATCGTAACTCTGAAATATTTCCAAAAGACAAGCAGCTGAAGAAGGTTTAGAAATAAAGGAAGAAATTAATTCGAGAAAGAAAATTCCTTTTAAGGGAGCTGATAAAAGATGTCTTTAAAATGTGAAGCCGCAGCTTAAATGATTGAACTGGAAATTGAGTTTGGTTAAGGTAGACGTAGTAACTTTTCGTCAGAGCTAATCTATGTAAGAGTATAAATGTGGCAGATTTTCTCTGTTTGCTGGAAAATGAGTTTGACACAGCAAAGAGTAAAAGGTGTTAGTGGTAATTATAGAAAATCTGTGGGAGGTCAGGGATTATTTGATCTCTGTCCATCAAGGTCTTCACTAATGGGCAGCAGAAATTAAATTCCATCCCTGAGGAAAGTCTCTGAGAAACTCTTAAAGTTGCAAATCCCTCCACCAGATATTTCTTCCAATTACCCTTTGATCTGGGAGATGCTCTCACGCTCACATTACGTTCGGGTTCAGAGTTTGACGCATGCAGAGGCGGGAGGTTAAACACTCGCCTCATTATTTTTGTTTTTTATTGAAAGAGAAAGAAAAATGAATAACACAAAGATCTGGGGGAAAATTGGATTTTAAAAATACCATTTGCAACACAAACACTTTTTTTACTTATTTAGTGAGACTAGCACATAATCAGCGGCTTATTTGCAGTTTCTGCCTATTCTTCTCCCATTTCTATTGCCAGAGGCCTTTTCTGAGCTGTCAACATTGTAACAGGACCTCATTTACTTTAAATTGTGGTGATCAGTATCCTTCTGCAGCAGGAAAAACAGCACAGGGACTTAAAATCTACTTGAAAATCAGTTTAAAGCGATCTAATCTCATTAAAGAATTCTGGTGTGTTTTGGTGAAACAAGATCTGCTGGAAGAGAGGATTCTGTTTCACCACCATTTGTTCAGTTGTAGGCTGACAGAGAGATGATATTGATTGGTATGAAGGTATTTCTCTAACGTCATCGTGGTCTATGTGAAGACGTAATTTCAACACATGTAATGTTTCATATAAGATCAGAAATACTTTATTCATCCCAGGGGGAAATATGTCATAAACGTCATAAATATTGAACTATATCAACTGATGTGACAAACAGAAGCTTCCAAAACATTATAATGGGAGAAGTTCTGCAAGTTCAGACTCAGCCTCGTTATAATGTAAATTAAACTATTAAATTATAAGTTGTGATTTAAGAATGACTAAAATGAAAGCAGTTGCACCACAGAGATAAGTTACAACTTCAGAACTAAACAGTTACAGTCCCTCAAGGTAGTGCAAATCATAAAATATAACAGAATTGTACTCATTGATGAGAAAACTTCTAATTTATTGATATTTAACTGATCTATGTGCTGCAATGCCAGCCAGAAAGCTAATGCACGCTGTAACCATGATGAGGGAACTTTCTTTAATAATTGATTGACCACCTGCATTAGTTATGACTTTACATCCAAACTGGTTAGGTTAAGGACACAGCTTTTGTCCCCAATTAAGTTGTCTTTTGTGTGAAATGTGTCCCTGAAGGTAGCCTAAGTCAGACGCACACACGCACAGCTGAATTTGTCAGGACCAGGTTTTTTGCAGCCATTGGAGGTGACCTGCTACTAGTTTTGACTCGTCTGTAGCAGGAAACATTGTCAGCTCGCCCGGTCACACACATTCTCTTATTCCAGATAAACAATACATTAAAATATGTTTGTGAAAATATTTGAGGAGAGAAATAATAAATGCAGTAACTGAATCTTGATTCATATTTGATCAGCAGAACACAGCGTAAAAACAGAGCCACAGACACTCACCAATGGCTCGACGGCCGACCGTCGTGTCACAAAGAAATAAAGAAATTAAGGTTCATAATTTACACGTTAGCAGTTTCGGAACAATTAACTCTGTTTCAACTAATGCAGAGACAAGGATAAAGTTCATGATGCGGTGTAAAAGAAAGTAGAGGTCTTCATGGGTCCAATCTGAAACTCACCCATGTACGACCTGCCCGAACCCAAAGTGCATAAAAAATGTTTAATGCTAACAGCGAGGCTCTTGGTTTGTTCTCTGGATTTTGTGTCAGACTCTGTTATCAGGAAAGCTCAGACCTCCTCAGCAACCTGCGCAGCAGATTTCATGACCTGATATTACGGCTCTCTTCTCCTGTGAGCTGGGTCCCCTGGTGGCAGAGGCCCCGATAAGACCACTGAAGAAGAGCAGCTCCTCAAACGGGCATGTTTGTGGTAACACAGCGGGTACCCGGGTGGCCTTGAGAGCTGGCCGTGCTTTCTGAAGTAAAGCATAAAATGGCATCAGGCCAGACACGTCCACCTCCTCGAGCTCCTGCAGAGACAGCTGCCTGTCAGAATCTACTCCAGTCACACAGATGAGCCGCGTACAGGGCATCGTATTATTGTGCTGACATTTTGACACACGCACAATATGGCAATGATGAAAAGTGATGGACACTGAGTTCAGGTTGATTGCAGTTACTTTAGGCATTGTCTCACTCTCTGACACTCAGAAAAACATGTAAGATGGAAGAAAAAGAAAGAAAGAAAGAATCCCCATTATCTCCAGTGTCCATTAGTCTGTCCCACTCTGTCATCAGGGACGTGTACCACCTGCGCACAATACAAATCCTCTATATAAACTTAAGTTGCTGGTGGGCAGAGATACACATCACAGGGCTGACAGCAAAGAAAAGGAGGAGTAAAAACAGGAGCCAGGAAAGGTAGGAGGACATTGATCCAAACCCTGTTGGCAGAGAGGAGGTGATCATTTTCTCCACAGAGGTCCAAGAAAAATTAAACAGTGGATGGTAAACAGTCAGTGTGTGTCTGCTTCTGGCAGACAACCACAACGCTGACGCAGACACAAAGGGAATGTGACGCCATTGATTATAGATGATTGATTGAATCAACTACATATAGAACATAGCTCTAGAGTTTATACACTGTTTAGCTGTTGCTTAATGCAACCATGGGGCCAGATGGAAGTCAGTTTGACGACAGGGGTACCGAGGTGATTTGACTGCCACACAACATCATGGACATGTTGCTAAAAGTAGCTGCTAGCAGAATCTTTATGCTGTTAGGTAGTTAGCTTGTGCAGCTAACGTTAGCTAACTCAGCCCCCAGGGTTCCAGGAACCAAATCCCCTGTATTCCCTGTCATCAAACTGCCCTCCGTCTGCATGGTGCCAGTCTGACCGTGTTGTTCAGTAGGAGTTTCCAGTGAATCAACTAACAAGACTGCTATAGCTGCTTGACGGAGGATGTAACGGGCATTCAGTCCCTCCCTAACAACCTATTTTTACAGGAAATACGCTGTTTCATGTGGACTAAATGACTAATGATAGATTGTTCAGTTACCCATTCATTTCCTTTCTTTTTAGCTCTACATTGCACAACTTACAAACAAAAGTATTAACAGGAATGTACAGTTTCCTAACAAGGATTATCAATATATAAACATGTAATAAACAGTTTATGACACATTATAATAGTTGTAAGCAGATATAAAGTCACCAATGAACTCCAGTAAAGACATAGTTTATATTATTACAGCTGTGTTTTACTATATTATTGTTCATTATATGTTCATACAGCAGCCTCAACTGCATGACTACATCAAGTATGTCGATTTTTCTTATTTCTGTACAGCCTTGTGCCCAAAATCACACCATGAAGCCTTTCTCTCTCTAATCTCATAAATGGAAACCATCATAAAGTTTAAACGTCCACTGTTACCCAGGGAGCGGCGGTTTGTAAAATCCCTGGTGAGCTTGCACAGCAGACCGGTGTCCCTGGGACAGCTGTGGTGGTCTCGGTGGACGGCCACATGGTGAGTCCACAGAGGGGGGCGTCCTCTACAGTTTTCTGAAGCATCGGTGTCAGCAGAAACTGACTCAACTCCAATTTTTTTCAACTGAGAACGTTGAGGTGATCAGTGACAGTAAGAAGAAAGAATGAGAGGAACTCTCCATATGTTAGTTTGCTCTCCAGCTTCAACATTGTGCTGAACTATAGTTGGTCAGTTATTATATCATGGACTTATAAGAGATAATTAAATAGAAAATAAAGAAAAAAACACTTGTCAGATGTGAACAAGATTATTAACATTAAACATTGCAAACAAAAAAATTAGTGCTGTCAAGCGATTAAAATATTTAATTGTGATTAATCGCATTAATGTCATAGTTGACTCGCAATTAATCGCACATTTTTATCTATTCTAACTGTCCCTTGATTTCTTTTTGCCCCATTATTTTTTCTCATTTTAATGCTCTTATCA